CCTACACGGTGCGTGTTCCCACCATCTTCCCGCTGCGTGGCGTCAATGAGCGCAAAGTAGCGCGGCGATCTGCGGGAGCTGCGGCAGCCCGCCGTAGGCAGCAGCAGCAGCAGCAGCAGCAACAGCAGCTGCAGCAACAGCAGCAGGCATCTCCGTCTTCCTCCACTGCCCAGACCACCCAGTTGCAGCCGAACCTGGTGTCTGCCTCTGCGGCCGTGCTTCTCACCCTTCAGGCCGCTGTAGACAGCAGCCAGGCTTCGGGATCCGTGGCTCCGGCGCCCACCACTCCCTCGGGAGATGATGTGAAGCCCATCGATCTTACGGTGCAAGTAGAGTTTGCAGCTGCTGAAGGCTCAGCCGCTGCCGCCGCATCAGAGCTAGAGGCTGCTACAGCTGGCCTGGAGGCGGCTGAGTGCGCTCTGGGCCCTCAGCTGGTGGTGGTAGGGGAAGAAGGCTTTCCTGATACTGGCTCCGACCACTCGTACTCCTTGTCGTCAGGTACCACGGAGGAGGAGCTCCTGCGCAAGCTGAATGAGCAGCGGGACATCTTGGCCCTGATGGAAGTGAAGATGAAAGAGATGAAGGGTAGCATCCGCCATCTGCGTCTTACCGAAGCTAAGCTCCGTGAAGAACTTCGCGAGAAGGATCGCCTGCTTGCCATGGCTGTCATCCGTAAGAAGCATGGAATGTGAATGGTTCCCCTCAGCAACCTGCAGAATTCGTGACTCCTTCCAGCCCAAGGAATCCTCAGGCGGATGTTGAACTCCCCAATATTCTGGTTGACAGTGCTGAGGTTTAGGACAGCAGGACTCCTGTTGGTCATCTGGCACCCTCATTTGTTTCCTCCTGAAGTAGGAGTTAGGGACTTCAGAATTTGGTGACACCAGCAATTATGACTTTGTCTCTCACTCCCCAGTTTATGTTGCAGATTCTGATTAAGCAAATGTTTCAGAACCATTGAACTTGAAACTTATCCTGGAGGGATGCAGGTGGGACTCTTAGGAACTTTGGGTTTGAGAAAACCATGTCTTAAGGTTGGCCAGCAATTGGAGACAACTTTGCTGTGTGTAGTAAGAGATCTGAGTAACATCATTTCCCCTTTTCATGCTTACCTGTTTCGGGTGCAGTCTGTAATTCTGAAGGGGACTAGTTGGTCTGTGCCTCTGCCTTCTAGGACCTCTCTTCCCAGAAGGTCATTTATGAGAGGGCTCTAGGTGAGTTGCTGATGGAGATCCAGCTTACCAGGGACTTAGGTTTATCTCGTTATGTTTGCTACTGGTTACAAATTCTATTTTCTGTACAATTAGACTAAAGTTTTCACTGTGTTTGTTTGGCAAAACAAATTAAAAAAAAAGTAAGGTTTTTATTTGGGTTTCGACAATTTATTTTTTATTAAAGCTAAGTGTTCTTGAAATATGGGGATATTGGTCTTGACCTATTTGAAAGAACTGGCTAGCCCTGAAAATAGAGATGTTTTAAAGGACTGACTGGATTGAGTTTCTTCAGAAAGCAATGAAAAGCACATAGATCTTCATAAAGTTCCTAGATCAGGTCACTCCCTAGTGTTTGGAAGCTGCATGAAAAGGTCTTGGTTTGCCCATGATTTTTTTCTCCCTGGATCTTTGTGTAAGTGTATGTACATGTGTGTAGTTTTGTGCCTGAGGTTTCTGAGTTGTCTTTCCTCAGGTGCTATCTAGCTTTTTTTTTTTTTAAGACAAGGTCTCCTAGAGGTTGTTGATTTAGCTCAGTGGTAGAACACTTACTTGCCTGTCAGCTGAGGGAGGTGGTGGTAAAGGGGTGCAGTGGGGAAGTGTGTATGTGTGTGTGTGAGAAAGAGAGGGAGGGAGGGAGAGAGAGAGAGAGAGACAGAGAGACGGTCTTCTCATTGGCTTGGAACTCATCAAGTAGTTTAGGCTGGTTGGCCAGCCAGTGAGCCTTAGGGAATCTGCCTGTCTCTGCCTCCCCATTGCTAGGATTACAATTTTACATCACCATGCTTTTTTGTTGTTGTTTGGTTTTTCAAAACAAGGTTTCTCTGTAGCTTTGGAGCCTGTCCTGGAACTTGCTCTGTAGACCTGGCTGGCCTTGAACTCACAGAGATCCACCTGCCTCTGCCTCCCTAATGCTGGGATTGAAGGTGAGGGCCACTATGCCCGGCCATGAATGACTTTTTTTAAAAAATTGCTTTTGTTATTTTCAGTTATATATGTCTGTGATTCCAGCTGCTTGAAATGGCCAGGCTATTAGATCCCTTGGAGCTGGAGTTGTCAGTCATCTGACATGGATACTGGGAACCAAAACTTGTGTCCTCTGGAAGAGCAGTGTATACTTAATTATTGAGCCATCTCTCAAGGTCTGTAAAGCCTTTTAAAATCACCTGTTTCTGTGACTATTGGGGCTCTTAGGCTCGGTTAAATTGGACTCACTTCTGAGTTACTTATGGATCAATCACCTTGCCTGAGGATGTGACCTGTGACTTGCAAGCTGAAGTGTTCCCAAAACTCCAGAGTCTACTTCCATTCTGGTCCTTTGGCTCTGAGTTGGGAAATAAGTCTTGAGGAAGCTGTAGTATAGGTGCCCAGTTTGGGGAGCTGAGTTTGCCTTTGTAAGGTTAGCTTTGGGTTATAATCAAATGGTGAAAACACAGCAGTGCATTTCTAGCTAACTGCCAAACTCTCATGTGTCAATGCTCTTTCCTTGGAGTGGGGGCTTTCCCAGTCTGGGCCATCCTCCAGTCCTTTAAAAGGACAGCTACTACCACCTTGCTTCTCTTGAACCTTTTAGCAATACTCCTTGGATCTTTCCTCCTGTCTCTTGTTTTGTGTTTTGTTTTCTTGGTGGTGATGGTGAGGCTACAGATGTTTCACCAACAGGGTAAAGCAGAGTTCTTATTGACTGGGTCATAAAAGCAGTACCTAGTCAAACTACATGGCCTGGCCAGACAGGACTTAATCAAGAAGCTTAGCCTAGTTTTACCAGTTGTCCCCAAGAGGTGGGGTGCTGCCAAAAGTGCAAATCTCCTTATGGCAAGACAGAAGTACTAAAGATTTTTCTGGTTTGGAGGGAAGAGTTAGGGTGTTTGTAGCCTTTTTCCTTTCCTGTGGTTCTTTGGGTTGGCTGCAGAGCCATTTGCTCAGCACAGACCTGAGTGACAAAGGAACTGAAAAAGGCCTTCAGTGTTTGTGTTACCAAGGAAACTTAAAAGGATGTTGAGAGTTAAGGGGAAGGGTCTGGTCACTTGGGAAAGTTAGGTTGAGCCAGTTATTTTTACAATAAAAATTAAAATTCTGGTTGGGCAGTGTTGGTTCACAATTTTAATCCCGGTGGATCTTTGTGAGTTTGAGGCCAGCCTGGTCTACAGATCGAGTTCCAGGACAGTTTCCAAAGCTACAGAGAAACCCTGTCTTGAAAAACCAAAACCAAACAAAACAAAAAATTTCTGGTTAGGTGGTGGTGTCACACTTTTAATTCCAGCACTGGGGAGGCATATCTCTGAGTTTGAGGCTAGCCTGGTCTACAAAGCTAGTTCCAGAACAGCTAGGGCTGGTACACAGAGAAACCCTGTCTTGAGAAACCAAAAATATAAAATTAAAATTCGGGCTGGGTGGTGGTGGACATGCACATCTTTATTGCTAGCAGTCGGAGTCGGATCTTCGAGTTTAAGGACAGCTTGGTCTACAGAGCAAGTTCCAGGGCAGGGAGGGCTACAAAAACAACCCTGTCTCAAAAAAAAAAAAAAAAAAAAAAAAAAAAGATATCCCAGTGAGTAAAGTAACTTGCCTTTAAGCCTGAGAATCTTATTTCCAAGGCTCCATGGTGGAAGAACTGATTCCTGTAAGCTTTCTCTAGCCTTCACATACAAGCTTTGGCTTGCCCCTCTTCAACGTAAAATGTAAAAAACAAACAAAAAAATTCGTAATTGCTCTGCTGCAACAAAACAGAAAACCTCGGGGTCTGGGGAGATGGCTCCAGTGGTTAGGAGCCCTACTGCTCTTCCAGAGGACTGGGGTTCAATTCCCAGCACTAACATGGCAGCTCACAATTGTCTGTCATTCCAGTTGCAAGGGACCCGACACCCTTGGGAAAACAATGTACACAACGCAAAAATAAATAAATAAATCTAGAAATGTAAAAAAAAAAAAAAAAAAAAAAAAAAAAAAAAAAAAAAAAATCCAAACAAGCAAAACCCCTCATAATTCAAGATTTTGTTTTGAAAATCCTCTGTACAACCTCTCCCAACTACAGGCCATCTAAGGAGCATTTTTTGAGTCTGGGGCCCAAGAAGAGCCTAGTCAGTTTGCAACCAACTTTGGGGGTAGGTAGGTAGCTCCCTCGACATAGCTAATTCAACAAATGTTGGAACAAGAGAAGGGTGGGTTTCGCCACGAGGGTTAAGGCTACACCATGAAAAGAACTAATAGCCAGAGCGCCTAAGGGGAGTCTAATACAGGGGTTGCTGGGAGAAGCCAGGCCAGCTCAAAGCTAGACCAGGCTCCCACGGAGGCGGGGTCAGGCACGATCCGCTGCACAGCCTAGGCGGGGCCAGGACAGTTGGGACCCAGCTACGACTGAGATCCAATCCTTGTCTGGCGCCAACTCCGTGTTCCAGAGGCTTCCGCTAGACCACAATTCTCAGGGGCTCGCTCTGCTCGCCTCCTTCCCTGACTTAGCCTCTCCTCCCGCGCTGCGGGCCGTAGCTGTGCCTCCGCGAATAGCATTCTGGGAATTGTAGTATTCTTCAAGTTCACTGATACCCATAAGGAGCTACATAGGGACTACATTTCCCAGAGTGCAGCGAGTCGGGCGAGGGAAGGCAAGGGGGAAGGGACAGTCGGTCGCAGACCGCGCTGGGTTGCCGCCGCCGCTGCCGCCATCGTGCCAGCCCCACGGGTGAGTGTTGGGGCCAGCGCGCCGGGGCGGGGGCTGGGCCGCAGGAGCCGCGCTCTAGGCCGCCGGGAGCTTCTGCTTCGAGGCCCTGGGAGGCCCCTCCCTCTTCACACCCCTCCGGCGGCCCGAAGAGGCGCGGGGCCCGCACCATGTGTCGCGCGCGGCTCCGCCTCCCGCGGATTCTCTGCGGCCGCGGTCGGGGGAATGCTGAAAGCCCGACGGACGCCTGTCCGTGCTGCCCTGTGTCCTGGCTGTTGCGCCGGAATGAGCTGTGGCCAGATCTTTTTCTCTGGTCCGGACGATCAGGATAGCTCTCAGGGCCCCGCCCCGTGTGGCCTTGCCTGGCTTGCTCGAATCCTACAACCTCTGCAGGCAGGTTGGCGGGCCGACCCCAGACCCACGTCCCACCACCGGCCAGCGAAGATCCGGGGATGGGCAACGCCACCCAGCTCGCTCCAGAGCCAGCATGGGTAAGGGTTGCCCGCCTGCCGCTGCTGGGGCTTGGGACCATTGCCCGGTTCCAAACCATAGCCCGGCTAGGATGTAGGTGAACGCTTCTCTGCCTGATTGCCTGCTGGGAGTGCACGAAACTTAACCTCTGGAGGACAGGGCCAGGGTATCTGGGGCGGGAGGTGATGCTTCGTGGGACTTTATTTCTAGTTAGACTTAGAAAATCTGAACTTAGTGTCTTTGGAGAGGTAGTTCCTGGCTGGTAGGCCCAGCCTCCACCCTTATTTATCCATGACTAGGCTCCAGCTTTAGGGTGGGTTGCCTGACAACTAATGGAGGAAGGATGCCAAAGAAGTGAAATTAGTTGTGTAAGCTACTAAGCTTTTTTCCCCATCAAGCATAGCCCAATTCTGAAATACATCAGAACCTCCTAGAGTCAGCATAGCATAGCTTTAGAGAAAGTTGACTCCTTAAGAATAAAGTGATAAGGTAGGAATTTAATGTGTGAAGAAGTGGACTCTAAGCTTGAGGTCCTTGACACTAATGGTGGACAAGAAAATGTGGAAGGAACCCTGTGACCAGAGCTCAGATTTAGGCTGTATTTGCCTTTTGAAGCTGGTTGCAGAGCTGGAAGTTGAAGAATGTTTGGTTTCTCTTCACTTGTGCTGGAGCTGCCTTTGAACAGTAAGAAGCTGGTTGGGCCTTGAGAAATTACTTTATTAGTGGCACCATAGATCATCACATTGAGTCCCTGGAGAAGGGGTGTATTTAACCAGTTACTATTAGCAGGCTTTGAAAAGGCACTTCTGGCTGGACCATGGTGGCACATGCCTTTAATCCCAGTACTTGGGAGGCAGAGGCAGGGGGATCTCTGAGTTTGAGGCAAGTTCCAGGACAACCAAGGCTACACTTGGAAACCCTGTCTCAGAATACACACACACACACACACAAACACACACACACACCAAAAACACACTTCTGTTTGGTGATTAAGGGATTAGTGTAGAGAAGTTCCTAGGACCCCTGTGGAAAGTGACTCTTGTCAGCTTAAATTCTCTGGCCCATTAATGGCTTCTGTATCACAGGCTTTTTTGTTTGTTTGTTTGTTTGTTTAGACAGGGTTCTTAAAAGGACTAAGAAGCAGTTTGGTCCTGCAAGCAGAGTGCCCAGTCTCTTTGGATGACTGACAGGACCAGGATGCAGAAAGTCACTGTTTTTTATCTACCTGTTCTTTGAATATTTCCTCAGATACTGTTTTTCTGGTTTTCACTTAAGAATTTTTCTCCTGTTAGTTTTAGGAGCTAGGGATGTTACTCTTCATTGGTAGATTTCTTGTTTAATCACTAGCACTGAATACATTGGGTATGGTGGCAAAAGCTTGAAATCTTAGTACTGGGATAAATGAGACCCTGTTTCAAAGAAACAAAACAAACTCTCCAGCTTGTCTAGGTTTCAGATGAGCTAGGTTTGTAACTATAGATCAGTTTGAATATTCTAAGATTCTGGGTGGCTTGTACATTGCATAGGACCTCCTTTTTTCTTTCTTTCTTTCTTTCTTTCTTTCTTTCTTTCTTTCTTTCTTTTTTTAATGCAGTGCTAGGGATAAGACCCAAGACTTTATAAATACTAGGCTACACATACTCCAGCACCTTGAGGATCAAAAAAGATACTTCTTCTCAAAAGCTAGCCAGAACTAGGAGGAATTCAGGTCTCTTATGCTTTAGAAGTTCCCGGAAATTAGCTGGGCAGTGGTGGCTCACATCTTTTAATCCCAACACTTGGTAGGCAGAGGCAGTAGGATCTCTGTGAGTTTCAGGAGAGCCTGTCTCAAAAACAAAACAAAACAAACAAACAAACAAACAAAAAGAGAAATTCCCAGAAGCTACTATCTAGAGTAAACCATTGCCCAGTATCTGCCATGTAGGAAGTCAAAGGACCTGACTTGCTTTTAGCTAAGTGACAAAAACTAGCAAAAATAATAATAATAATAATATTGTTTTGGAGTCTGTCCTGAAACTAGCTCTGTAAAGCAGGCTGGTCTCCAACTCAAAGAGATTCACTTGCCTCTGCCTTCCGAGGGCTGTGATTAAATGCGTGCACTATCAATGCCTGGTTTGTAAAATTATTTTTTAATCTAAAAATGTATTTTGTGTGTGGCTATGCATGTGCTACAGCTGTGGAGGTTAGAGGACAACTTTTAGAAGTCAGTTTTCTATGTCATTAAATCATCAGGCAAGACAACAGATACCTGTTGGGCTATCTCAATAGTCCCAGAATATATTCTGACATAGTATTACTATGTAATTCAGCGTAGTTCTGAACTTGTTATATAGCCTAAGCTGTCCTTGAATTTGCAGTCAACCTCTTGCCTCAGCCTCTCAAACTACTAGGATTATTGATGTATACCACCACAGTTGGCCTTTTAATATAAAATTTGGTCCCTTGTTTCTAGAATCCCACTTCTGTCTGAACCATGTCTTGCTTTATTCTGCTGTCTCTGAGGTTAGTGCATTGAAATGATGAATGATAAAGATGCAGAATTCCAAAATGTTAAAATTAAAAGGCCTCATAGCAAAAAATGGGACAAATGCCTGTAATTCTAGCACCTGTGAGACTGAAGGAGTGATCATGTATTTCTGACTATTCTGGGATTACAAGACCTCAGAAAACATTGAAGCCAACAAAAACCCTTCAGAACATTGGTTCTCAACCTGTGGGTCACAACTCATTGGGGGTTGAATGAACCTTTCACAGGGGTTTCCTAAGACCACTGGAAAACACAGATATTTACATTATGACTCATAACAGTAGCAAAATTACAATTATGAAATAACAAAGAAAATAATTTTATGGTTGGGATCACCACAACCTGAGGAACTGTATTAAAGCATTGAACCATTAGGAAAGTTGAGAAATCAGTGCTTTAGAGTAAGAGATACCTAAGTGGGTAAGAATGCTTGCTGTGCAAGGGTGAGTTTAAATCCTCAGCACCCACATTAAAAGCCAGGCCATACACTCTGTAATCCAAGCATTGTCAGGAGGTTTGCTGAGACTTGCTGACTGTCAGCCTGGCTTCAAATTCCTCTGATGTTGAGTACAAGCAACATGCGGAAGACTTCAATAATCTTAGCACTTTGAAGTTTGGGGCAGGAGGAGAGTATGAGTTCAAGGACAAACCTTGTGGTGCACACCTTTAGACACAGCACTCGGGTGGCAGAGTTCAAGGTCAGCCCGGACTACAGAGCAAGTTCCAGGACACAAAGAAACCCTGTCTTGAAAAAACTGACTGTGTGGACCATATAATGAGACCATATCTCAAAAAAGAAAAAGAAACAAGAAAAGAAAAAAGAAAAATTCAAGATTCCCTTAGTAAGGTATTAGCATTTTGTTTGACATTATCATGCTGGGTTTTTTTTTTTTTTTTCTGAAGACATTCTTTTGTCCTTTCTGTATGTTTGACTTTGGGCTGAGGCTGTGGGCACATATACACATACACATCGAGAGATAGACAAGCCCTGGTGTTGTGCTGTGGAAGGAAGGTGTCTGTGCTGAGGGTGATGGGAGTAATTGGCATTATGTGCTGCAAGCTTAGTTGAAGAGAACTGCAGGGACTCTGATCCTGTGCCGTAGGGGGAGCTTTTAAAGGGTTACAAAGAAGAGCAAACTAGTGGTCCCACCTTCCTCTCCAGTGACTGGCCAAAACCATAGGAATCTGCTCAGTTCCCAGAATGCCTAGGAATATCACCAACGTTGTCTGACCTTCAATTTTCTTGCCTGAAACATGGGTGGTGTGTAACATCTCTCACTTAACTCCCGAGACTCACTCATAGTCAGCTTCATTCAAATGACAAGCAGTTATTCCTTGAATCCTGTCCTGTTCTTCCAGCTTCCACCTCTGGAGTGACTTGGATTGCATTACAGGCCTGTGTGTCTTCACCATCCTGTATGAGTAGTGCTAAGAAATCAAACTCCAGGCTTGTGGTATTTTGTCTCGATGTTTTAAGGGGCAGTATCTAATAGGGATGTCAGAAATGACAAATACTGGGACTTGAGTATAGTTCAGTGGTAGAGCACTTGTGTAGCAGGCATGAGGCTTTAGATTCAGTCTCCAGTTTTTGGTGGGGGGTACAAAGATAAGAAATGAGAAGACTGCTTGTTTTAAACTACATTTCAGCTTATCCTTACTGGGCATTTTCCAAGATGGACGTTGAAAGTTAGGCAGGGGGGTTGGAGAGATTCCTCAGTGCTTAAAGAGTACTGGCTGTTCTTTCTGAGGTCCCGAGTTCAATACTCACCACCCACATAGTGGCTCATAGCCATTTATAATGGGATCTGATGCCTTCTTCTGGAATGCAGGTGTACATGTAGACTGAGCACTCATAGGATACATACATAAGCATACTTTATACATTTTTAAAAGATTTCTTTTTAACAGGCAGGAAGATATTCTGAGTTCAAGGCCAGTCTGGTCTACATAGTGAGTTTTAGGATAGCCAGGGCTACATAGAGGGACACTATCTTAATGAAGAAATTAATAAGTAAAATAATTTTTAAAAGTTATATTTTGTATGTGTGTATATCTGAATATATGTATATGAACCATATGTGCGCAAATGTCTGTGAAGGCAGATGAGAGAGTCAGATCCCTGGAACTGGAGTTACCGATACTTGTGTACAACCATGTAGGTTCTGGAAACTGAACCTGGATCTTCTGCAAGAGTAGTAAGTGCTATTAACCACTGAGCCATCTCTCTAGCTCTTACTATATTATTTATTTTGTACAGATGTCTGCTCAGAAGTGCATGCTCATGTGCTGTAGTTCACAGTGGAAGTCAGAGGAGAACCTGTGGGACTGTTCTCTCCTTCCACAATGTAGATCCTGAAGATTCAGGTTTTTTGGTTTGTCAACAAAATGCCTTTACCTGCCAAGCTAATATCAGAAGGGCAGAAAAGACATGGATTTCTCTTTACTAATAGCTTCTGCTATTCCACTTTGGGTTTTAGCTCCATTCTGGCCATC